GGCATCCATCTTGTCCCGGGACAGGGCATCAGCGATGGTATTGGAAATTCCTGGCAGGTGCGATGCTCGGATCAGGAAATTGTGCTTCACACAGATTGAGTACAGGGTGCGGATGAGTGCCATGACTGCAGGAGACCGGCTCGTGCCCGTCTTCAGGCACTCCACGACAGCTTGGTTGTCGCACTGAAACTCCACACGCAGCCGCAGCCACTCGATCCCCCATGTGGCGCATGCCGCAAAAATGGCGAAGAGCTCTCCTTGTAGGTTATGCTTAGTTCCAGTTGCTGCGGGGGACCAGTCACCTCTGAACCAGCGCCCATTGAAGAAGGCTCCAAATCCAATGGTGCCACTTGCGTCGGTTTGCATCTGGAGGTCGGCGCTGGGCATCCACTTCTCCAGCAGGAAAAATGACTTTCCGTTCCATGTTGACAGAGTCTGGTGCCACCAGCTCAGGTCGCCCTTGGCTGAGGCTGAGAGGTGCAGCATTCGGTGAGATGACATCTCAGATGTGGCCTTGTCGAGGTCATACAGGCGGCGTAAGAATGTACGGGCGGCAGGAATTGCTCTGGAAGCGAACGAGAGGTGGCCCAGGAGTAAGGCAAGGTCGCGTTTGGGAATGCAACTCTTGTCGAGGGTGGTAGAGACTAAACGACGTAGGGCCAGAAACTTGGACCGAGGCAGACGCACTTCCAAGCGATCGGTGTCCAGCTCCAAACCGAGGAAGTTGAGGACAGTGGAAGGGCCCTCAACTTTCTCTGTGGCGACAGGTATGTTCAAGAACTGCAAAAAGTCCAAGAGGATGGCCTTGTGATTGGCCGCCAGGGAGGAGCTTGGTGGGCAGATGTCGAGGAAGTCATCGAGGTAATGCATTACGTCGGGCAAGGAGCCGACATGGACAAGGACCCAGTTGATAGCCGTTGCCAGCTGGTTGAAGATGAATGGTGAGGAGCGGAGACCAAATGGAAGGACCTTCTCGTAATAGTACATGCCGTTCCTACGGATGCCGAGAAGATGCCAGTCCGAGGGGGCGACGGGACACAGGCGAAATGCATTACGGATATCTAGCTTTGTCAAGAGGGAGCCCTTGCCAAGGCGCATAATGGCGGCAATTGCGGTGTCCACGGAGTCGTAACGCAGGCTGAACTGCCCGCGCGGTATAGCATCGTTGACATTGCTGCCATCGGGAGACGACAGGTCATGTATCACACAAAGTTTTCCATTGGACTTCGGCACAACACCCAGACCAGATGTCTGCATGCACAGAAAGGGTGGCTCCGGAAATGGACCTGCTGTTTGCCCAGCTTCACAACATTCGGTCAAATAGGAAGAAACATACTGCATATTACGGATGGCCGACAGGTGATTGGGAGAACTATGAACACCAGATAAACCAGCAGAATGGCCTATCGTGAAACCGTGACACAACCCATGCAATACAAAGTGAAAGAAGGAGTGATCAGAATGACGGTTAAGGAGCCCGGCTAATCGGCTAACATTGACGGGAGTCTCCACAGAATGTTTACGGAGCAGACGCTGAGGTGGCGGGCTGTCCCCTGCCACATTTGACTTCTGGGTGCTTCCCGCGGCATTGAAGGCACACGTGGGCACGATAGCAGAATGAGTTGTTGTACTGGTCCCTGTTGAAGTTGCGGCAGATATGCTTCCCAAGATGGGTTGGCGCGCTGGACTGCGGCGGACCTCCACTCCCAGCGCCGGCGGATGGAGGCCCTGGTCTAAAGGGCCACCGGGCCTGGGCCACTGGGTGCACCAGAGAACAGCGTGAACATGGCGGGCGACCACGGCTGGTGAATGACGACTGCCACAAATTTGAGTCGATGATAGCCCAGTCGTACGACAGTATGTATGCGCGTGCGCGTGTGTGTGTACGCACGCGCATGCGCGCGCGTGTCTGTGCAAGCTGTTGAAAGGTGTAATCCGAGCACAAGTTGCTATGTCTAACGTAGTTTGTTTGCTATCCTCGCTTCAGCATTGGGCAGGTGTATGAGTGTATGTGTACACACGTGTGTGTGTGTGTGTGTGTATGTGTGTGTGCGCGCGCGTGCTCGTGCCCGCATGTGTGGGTTCGCACGCAATGTTGATCTGGGTTATGCACATCTTCCCAAGATTGCACTGTGTGCAAGTGCATGCAAATGTCTCATGTATGGATGTATGCACGTGCATGTGTGCGCGCTTGTGCAAAGTTAGGTGTGGAAGGGGGGGGGGGGAGGAGGGGCTCACGATGCTGGCTCTGTATGCCTCTCCTCTCTGGTGTCCGCAAGGACAGTGTGGCAATGGCTTTACAGTACAGGAGTTGCATGTGAATGCGCATTTGTGAACCGTATTTGAGACACAAAAAAGAATTGCCGAGAGAGCATGACAGTACACTACATGTATATCGTATGTGTGCACGCCTGCGTGTGTAGATGCATATTGCCCTTCATGCGATGTTTTTCTGGAGTCTGCTGCTATCAACGCAAGTGACAACCAGCAAAAGCATGCCCATTGCAGTGGCTGGTCTTCATGCTTTTATTTACACTAAGTCCTACTATGGACTAGTAGTGTTACAATGATGCGTGCATGAAGTGCGTGCCTGTGGGTGGGTGTTTATGTGCGTGCGCACGCACGCGTGTGAGTGTTTAGTGTGCCTTATTTTGAATGCCTGCTTTCACATTATTCATGTGCCAGTTTCATGGTCGAGGTTGTTATGAAACCTCGCTGCCTTACATGTACATTACTCGTATATCAATGTGCTAGGACTGAAGGCTGCATGACATACATGTAATGATACATGTACCTTACCAAGCACAGACTGTCTGGTATGTCCAAAAGAGGTTGCAGCATGAAAATAACTTGTTCTGAAATAATATTACCATACTACCATGTCATTGGTAGTGATATTTAGTCAAGAAGGCAAGAATGGTCAGATTTTCTAAAAATGTTTTTTCAGAATTTGCCTAAAAATATTTTGATACCTATAATTATTGTTTGGTAGGGGCCTAAAGTGCCTGGTGACACCATCAAAACTGTCCATTATCGGTTTCCTTGGGGCTCAAGGATCACAGAAAGCCACAAAAATCAATATGTCTATGGACAAAATGTTGCTGGCTGAACCATTACATTTTCACAATTCAGCACCCGGTGGAAATTTCGGTAACCCTAATTTCGAAAAAGTGGCTCGCCAAGGGCGAAACCAAGACACAGTCTATCTTGTGTAGCCAAGATACCTCCAAATGTGGTTCTGAAACATATGATGAAGAAAATGCTTTGTATCCTCCTTCAGGAGGCTTCTTTGGGTCAAAAACCAATTTTTTACCATTTTTTGGCGAAAATCAAGAAATTGCACACACACTAAATACATCAAAATACCTCTTATATGCCTGGTGACCCTACCTAAAAACTAAACCAAATTGAAGAAGAGACATCACTCCACCATTCTATGCATAAAAAATAGTGTTGAAACGATCTCACCGGATACTCGTTAGCTCGCTCGCCAGAAACTCGGCTCGTTTGTGCGGCCAGCTCGTTTGCACTAACGAACACCGTACTCCGTACACATGGCAGTACATGTCGACCAGGGAGTCGTAAACTATTTTACGACTCCCTGGTCGATCGAAAGTCCAGTCCCGCGCAAAGTGAAAATCACTCGCAGTTACAGGTGACTGTATGCCTGCACGACACTTGAGTTGTTTCAGTTGTCGTTGCAGCTTTGGTGGACTCTACTGATGTCATGTTCCGCATCTGCTGACCTGTCGCAGGATATGCTTCGGTCACCTCTCCATTCGAGTGAAAGTTACGCTCAGTCGTTTGGAAGTTTTCTCCCGCGATGCAGCGAAGACCAGGGCTACTTGCAATCTTTGCAAAACGGTCTATTCTTACAAAGGCTAATCGACGACGGCGCTGAAAAGACATCTCGACACCAAACAGCAGTCCAAAGTGAAGCAGCAGCAACCCCAAATGCCGGCGGTGATAATTGAACCAGCTGAAAAAATCGAACTACAAAATATATAATACTTCGAAAAAAAATTATTCAAAAAAATAATCATATTTGCCACATCAATGAAACTCGTTAGCTCGCTCGATAGCTTGCTCGTTAGTGGAACTGATCGCTCGTTTGTTATAGATACGCTCGTTTCAACACTAATAAAAAACAGGGTGTCCATGGACCTTATATTTTTACTTCTTTAGGTGTGAGCCTCCTTAAGCAAAAGAACCCAGTGCAAAATACTGTGTATAATGTAAAGTGATATTATGGTTTGATAGTGCTAAATAAAAAAGAGACTTCCACTAGCCTGTATACAGTGAAACTTGTCTAAGATGACCGCTCAAGGGACTTTCACAAGGTGGTCTCTGTTACCAGGTGGTCTCCTTAGCCAGGGTCATTTGACTGGAAATAGCATCCCTCGGCCCTGGTTTCTGTGGTCTTCTAGGACAGGTGGTCGCCTTATCCGAGTGGTCGCCTTGACAGGTTTTACTGTAGTTTAACAGGAAGCGTGAATTTCGAAGTCTGAAGAAATTGTTGCAAGGTCTCTGCTGGGGTGACAGCTACACCATAGCTCAGTGGGTAAAGCATCGCTGGCCTCAAGCGAAAGTCCCTGGTTCGAATCCTGGTGGTTACAGTCATTCATTCTTCACACTTTTAATTCCCTTTTCCATTCCCTGAACTTGTGAAGGCTAAATTATCGTGTCAGTTTCCCAGGGAACACATGAAAGTTGCTAGCACCCTGAAGATCCTAGATAGTGCTAATAGCCAGGTGTGGATTTGAAAGACAGCACAGCAAAGCAAATAATAAGACGAGAGGCCCATGGGGCATGCACGCCATCCACTCCCGTACCACACCACACCTCACCGTCGTCACGTCACAGGCACTCTTCAGGTTTTCTTCATCATACTGCTGTAGTCTAGCAATGGCGGGCATGCAGTGGCAGGGTTGAAAATACACGCTCCCAACGTGTCTCTTTTCTGTTGGTGTGCAGGTATCAGCTGTCCACAACCAGATTCACTTGCCAATGGTAAATCCAGACGTACAGGTGTGAGATACCAGGATACAGTAACTTATGAATGTGATACAGGATATTCCATGGTGGATCATCCAACTGTTACTCTGATAGCAACGTGTATGGCAAACAAACGGTGGTCTTCTCGGAAACCTTCATGTGAACGTAAGTGATGGACTATTTGCATCCTTGCACGTTGCAGCCGAGCAATTAATATAATATTAGTTAACATTCTACTCCCCATGCTAGAGTATAGAGTAGACACACCCACGTGCAGGACGTGACACACCAACAGACAAGAGAGTGAGTTTGGAAGAATGGGAATGTCGGGCAGAGTAGCTGGCCTCAATTGAGTGCGCGTTAACGAATCGTGTGGTCGGCCTACCGAGGGCAGGAGCTGTATATGACCAAGTGGGTCGGCCTGCGCTGAGCAGGAGCGGTTTGTGACCCATGCGAGTTGGTGGGTCGGCCTGCGTTGAGCAGGAGCGGTTTATGACCCATGCGAGTTTTATAGTAGTGCACGAGAGGCCAGTTACGGAGGAGTGCCCATGCCGACATTCCCATTAGGGCCAGAGGAGGTAGCGGGTGATAACAGCCAATATAGATGGTAAGTATGTATTGCACAAGAGCGTTGTTCTAGAGGCATAAAGTCAGACTGATATTGTGGAGTAGGATCGACAGAGAACGCTATCTGCATCCTAAGTGAATGTCTTTGCACTTACTCAGTGATCGGCTGGACCATGGTGTCAGGCCGCTCCGCAGCTGTAGGAGCAAAGGTCCTGAAGGCATCCATCTTGTCCCGGGACAGGGCATCAGCGATGGTATTGGAAATTCCTGGCAGGTGCGATGCTCGGATCAGGAAATTGTGCTTCACACAGATTGAGTACAGGGTGCGGATGAGTGCCATGACTGCAGGAGACCGGCTCTTGCCCGTCTTCAGGCACTCCACGACAGCTTGGTTGTCGCACTGAAACTCCACACGCAGCCGCAGCCACTCGATCCCCCATGTGGCGCAGGCCGCAAAAATGGCGAAGAGCTCTCCTTGTAGGTAATGCTTAGTTCCAGTTGCTGCGGGGATCAGTCACCTCTGAACCAGCGCCCATTGAAGAAGGCTCCAAATCCAATGGTGCCACTTGCGTCGGTTTGCAACTGGAGGTCGGCGCTGGGCATCCACTTCTCCAGCAGGAAAAATGACTTTCCATTCCATGTTGACAGAGTCTGGTGCCACCAGCTCAGGTCGCCCTTGGCTGAGGCTGAGAGGTGCAGCATTCGGTGAGATGACATCTCAGATGTGGCCTTGTCGAGGTCATACAGGCGGCGTAAGAATGTACGGGCGGCAGGAATTGCTCTGGAAGCGAACGAGAGGTGGCCCAGGAGTAAGGCAAGTTCGCGTTTGGGAATGCAACCCTTGTCGAGGGTGGTAGAGAATAAACGACGTAGGGCCAGAAGCTTGGACCGAGGCAGACGCACTTCCAAGCGATCGGTGTCCAGCTCCAAACCGAGGAAGTTGAGGACCGTGGAACGGCCCTCAACTTTCTCTGTGGCGACAGGTATGTTCAAGAACTGCAACAAGTCCAAGAGGATGGCCTTGTGATTGGCCGCCAGGGAGGAGCTTGGTGGGCAGATGTCGAGGAAGTCATCAAGGTAATGCTTTACGTCGGGCAAGGAGCCGACATGGACAAGGACGCAGTTGATAGCCGTTGCCAGCTGGTTGAAGATGAATGGTGAGGAGCGGAGACCAAATGGAAGGACCTTCTCGTAATAGTACATGCCGTTCCTACGGATGCCGAGAAGATGCCAGTCCGAGGGGGCGACGGGACACAGGCGAAATGCATTACGGATATCTAGCTTTGTCAAGAGGGAGCCCTTGCCGAGGCGCATAATGGCGACAATTGCGGTGTCCACGGAGTCGTAATGCAGGCTGAACTGCCCGGGCGGTATAGCATCGTTGACACTGCTGCCATCGGGAGACGACAGGTCATGTATCACACGAAATTTTCCATTGGACTTCGGCACAACACCCAGACCAGATGTCTGCATGCACAGAAAGGGTGGCTCCGGAAATGGACCTGCTGTTTGCCCAGCTTCACAACATTCGGTCGAATAGGAAGAAACATACTGCATATTACGGATGGCTGACAGGTGATTGGGACTCGGAGAACTACCGTATTTCCACAAATAGTAGGCCGGTCTACTATTTTTTCAACCTCGTCCTAACCCGGCCTTATAATCGAGGACGGTCTTGTATTCGAGGACGGTCTTTTATTCTTTCAACCCAGTTTGACCCCCCGGTCTTCTATTTCTCGCCACACAGTTTTACCCCCGTTCTTCCATTTTCTTCTACACAGTTTGAGCACGGTCTTCTATTTTTTCCCACAGTTTGAGCACGGTCTTCTATTTTTAACACAAGAACAAAGACTCATTTAGTAGGCCCGGTCTTCTAATCGGAGACGGTCTTTTATTTTTTCAATCGCCCCCTGCCCCGGCCTTGTATACTAGGAAGGCGTTGTATACGAGGACGGCCTTTTATTTGCGGAAATACGGTATAACACCAGATATAGCAGCAGAATGGCCTATCCTGAAACCGTGACACACCCATGCAATACAAAGTGAGAGAAGGAGTGATCAGAATGACGGTTAAGGAGCCCGGCTAATCGGCTAACATTGACGGGAGTCTCCACAGAATGTTTACGGAGCAGATGCTGAGGTGGCGGACTGTCCCCTGCCACATTTGACTTCTGGGTGCTTCCCGCGGCATTGAAGGCACACGTGGGCACGATAGCAGAATGAGTTGTTGCACTGGTCCCTATTGAAGTTGCGGCAGATATGCTTCCCAAGATGGGTTGGCGCGCTGGACTGCGGCGGACCTCCACTCCCAGCGCCGGCGGATGGAGGCCCTGGTCTAAAGGGACACCGGGCCTGGGCCACTGGGTGCACCAGAGAACAGCGCGAACATGGCGGGCGACCACGGCTGGTGAATGACGACTGCCACAAATTAGAGTCGATGATAGCCCAGTCGTACGACAGTGGTTGGGAGGCTATGGCACGCCGGAAACGCCTGTCATAACTTAGCCATGCGTCCACATGATACGAGTTATTTGCATCCAGAATAGTGGCCTGATATGCCAGCAAATCATTTGCCCTATCTGGAGCCGCCGCGACAATTACTCTCGTGTAGACAAGAAACGCCTCAAGCCATGACGCTACATCATGGACATGGCGGCGCTGGGCCTGAGTTGGCTTCTGTACAAGTTGGACAGAGCGGTTGGCCCCCACAGCTAGCTGGACCACATCGGGCTCCACACCCAGCTGGTCCGGGGGGAGGTCGTCGAAATCAATAAACTCGCCGCGTTCAATTCTCCCGGGGAGTATATCAGGTACAGAGAGCGGCGGACGAGCAGCCGGCGGATGGCCCACTGCATGAACGGAGCTGGAGTTTACAGGCGGCACGACGGCTGCAGCAGATTCCAACTGCTCTACTCGCTCCATCAGGGGCTGGAGGACCTGGCCGACGGCCTGAGAAAACAGCCGAAGCAAGTACATCAGGGGCCACACTCAAGGCGGCGGCAGAAGAAACTGACGGCGCAACGTCGGAGACAACAGAGGCCGTGGAGGAAGATAATGGAGTCTCGGTTGGTTGACGACGAACAGGAGTTGCCCTCGCACGCGCATTACTGCCTGCAGCCGAAGTTTGAGTTGCCGCCCCGGGATCTTGGGCAACATTCAAGGCGGCGGCAGAAGAAACTGAGGGCGCAACGTCGGAGACAACAGAATCCGAGTGGGGAGGTATTGGAGTTCTGTGGAACAGGCTCCAGCCCGACATCAGGAAATTCCCACAGTACCACCGATTCATGCGATCCCTCCCAGCACATGCTGCTTTTCAGTAATGCCACTGCCCGCTTTATTATCATTTCCTTTACTGGCCTAACTGGCTTTTAATACTTTATTCCCCACTCTACTCAGTATCATTATCTTCACTGGCCTTTTATGCTTTATTCTCCTTTTTAGTCGATATCATGTAATTAGGCAAATTTGTCTGTTTGTTCTTCGACTCCAATAAACAAACAAACAACAACAACAACAACAACAACAACAACAACAACAACAACAACAACAACAACAACAACAACAACAACAACAACAACAACAACAACAACAACCACAACAAAGGACAGCTGACTGTGCAGCAGCATTCAAGACCATCAAGGCAGCTATCCCCTCGGATCAGGTACTCATGCATTTTGATGCCGACCTGCCGGTACAGTTGGCAACTGACGCATCACCATGCGGCCTGGGAGCTGTGCTCTCGCATATTCTGCCGGACGGTATGGAACAGCCGATTGCCTTCGTGTCACGTTCGCTTACCGAGACCGAGAAGCGGTATGCCCAAATAGATCAGGAGGCCTTATCTATCGTCTGGGGTGTCCGTAAGTTTCACACATATCTGTTCGGACGATTGTTTGTGCTGCTGACAGGCCACAAGATCCAGTCTTGGCCAAGGTCCTAGCTGGTGTTCGTGACGGGTGGTCACACTCCCCAGCTGACTGTGACATGCAGCCATTTGCGAGGCGAAAGAATGAGCTGGGACTGCACCAAGGATGTCTTTTGTGGGGAATCCGTGTTGTTACCCCACCCTTACTTCGCAAGCGAGTACTCGAGGAAGGAACTGCACACAGGCCATCCAGGCATGGTTCGTATGAAGTCATTGGCCCGTAGCTGCGTGTGGTGGCCAGGCTGACATCGAGACAACTAGCAAGGTCTGTGCTGACTGCCAGGCACACGAAGCAGCACTACCAAAGTGACCACTCCTTCCCTGGGCGTTGCCGTCCAAGCCATGGCAACGCCTCCACATTGATGTTGCAGGACTGTTTGAAAGGGCACATGTGGCTGATCGTGGTGGATGCCTGTCACGTCAGAAATAATGTGCATCTTAACCTCTCTAGAGTCTAACAACTGGTGTGAATTGATAAGAGCATGTGTCGTCAGCTAAAAATAAGACGAACTGCATGTACTCATCTTGCGCGACCGCGCCACACACCAAAAGGCCAAGTTACTTGTTTAGAGCGAGAGAGAGAGAGAGAGAGAGAGAGAGAGAGAGAGAGAGAGAGAGAGAGTGTATTCTTCAGTTCCTGCTCTGAGGAGACGAGTAGACAACTCAGAAATGA